GGGTTCAGTGGCATGCTCAGAGAACAGGTAGAGCATGCTTCTCACTGCTTTACAGTGCCAACTGACACTGCATAAAGGTACTGATTGATCTGTTTGTTGCATTCATAGGAATTACAGGCTCCTGCTTTAGATGGATTTATTTTAAAATTACTGTCTCAGACTGAACTACCACTTCCATGAGTAACAAATAAGACAGGAGTATCAAAAGCTTTGTTTAAACTGTACTAATAGGGTTGGGAAGCTGGGTTTTCTGCAGAAGTATGTTGTTCTGTGTTTTTTCCCATTATCCTTTAGAGTAGAAGGCCTTATACTTCAAAAAGTCTGTAAGTACAAACTTCATCCATCTAGAGATGCCCATGGACAGAAACTCAAATGAGAACAAGACAACTGCTCATGGATGATGCTTCTGACTTGGATTTAATATGTAGTGAGCTCTTAAAATTTGGCTTTCCAGCCCTTAAGCTAAATCATAATGATGATCTCTTGTGTTGAGCATTTGTGGTGATTCAAGAGAGGGGAGATGTCTCTAAAATAAGTTGGTTTAACCATAAATTCAGATTTTTTTTATTCCCCTACTCAAAAATGTGGTTTCAGTGAAGCTGATCCAGCATCCAAATAAGAGCAGAGATAGAGCTTGAGGCCTCAGGGACCTATTCTTGCAACTTGTGTTATGAGATACCAGCCTGAACAGTTAGTGTTTAGTACCAAACTCAGTTCCTATGAACCTATGTTACAAAGGTGCTTGTATACTGTAATTGACTATTACATTTGGATGTCTGGTTTTACACTTTGGTACAGTGTCTCTTATTTGACTTAACACTTCTAGACAAAAAAAATAATCTAAAAATAAGTCCTGGAATCTGTTGTTTTAGTGATATAAATATGTCAAGAATTAATTACTTATTTTATATCAATTCGTGTACATAAATTGTTAACTGCTTTAAAGGCTCTTTTGATATGTTTTGATTTATATTCCAAAATTTGAACCCACAGTTTATTTCAGGACTGAGCCCTCTCTTGACTGTAGTGTACATCTTTCATTTGTTTCCCTTTGCTATCCTTAATATGTTGTTTGCATGCTAAGTTGCAGATGCCTAAAATAATACTCCTTGAATAATTTAATACTTGTACTAACCCAGGGGATTAAAACTTTGTCCAGGGCAGCCTTGAACTCCTTGATCAGCCTGAAGGGAAATGCAGCCCTGAAAATGAGCTAATGTTCAGACCTGTGGCACATCACACGAGATGAGTCATCTTTCTGTCCTTCATTGTATATATTGTTATCTTGAAGGACCAAGGTGTCCTTTTTCCACACTGATGTGAGTCTTACTTGCATAATCATCTTACTATTAGCTTCTTCTATATTCAGGTAAAGACCTTAGGCAGCCTTTATCACTAGAGCAAGCTTGATGTTCAAGTATGTAGTTCACATTTTCAAAAACAGCAAAACAATACATCACTTTGATAGTTGTATTTTTCTTTGTAGAAACTTAGATTAAGCTTTAAAGCCCTGGATTTTCTTTCTTACCTATTTCATAGAGTGAATACTTGATATGTTAATTGATGTTGTTAGCTGTTTGAAAAACAGGTGGAAACTTCAGCTACTGAAATCTAATTGCTTCTAAGTTCAGGTTTGTAAAATTGTTTCGGCACATTGTCAGAGTAATCTCTTATGTGCTTTTGCATACTGGCACTGGCTAGAAATTTTTTGGGTTCCAGAGAGGGACCTCAGATAAATTGCAACCTGCATTCTAGTTTATGATCTTGTATGGTGTTCACATGTCACTTAAATTCTGTATTTATGCTACTAGCTGACCTGAGTAAGCTCTTTGGGGTCAGTATGTGCCCAATGCTATTTAGTCCTCGTAAATGATCTGGGTGATGGGGTTGAGTAATCATATAGTTTGAAAAATGTCAAACTGGGACAAGTAGATAAAACAGAAAAAAGAACCACCATACAGACATGGACAGATGGGAAGGTTGGGCCAACAAGAATGACATCAGGTCTAGAAGATAAGGTAGTTTCTTGCAGTGGGTTAATTTCAAATAACAGTTAGTTGGGTCTGATCAGCTGGGAGATGGTTCTGCTGGAAATGACCTGGAAGTCCTAGTGGGCAGCAAGCTGAGCATGATCCAGCAGTGTGCTTTGCAGAAGAAATACAGTGTCCAGGGTTTGCCTGGCAAGAGTGCAGGCATTTTCATTGTAGTTGGCACTTCCGAAGCCATACCTGGAAATTCTGTGTCTGGTTTTGGTCCCCTGGTTTATCAAACAGGTAAACTGTACAGTTTCCAATGAAGGCTTATGGACATGATTACAAAGTTGCAGAGACGAAGCCATAAATGAAAGCTGAAGGAATGCTTTGTTTGGACTAGAGAATTGTGGGATAGTGCTATTTACAGAATCAGCTAGGTTGGAAAAGTCCTTTGAGATCAAGTCCAGCCTATGCCCTAACACCACCTTGTCAACTAGACCACAGCACCAAGTGCCACATCCAGTCTTTCCTTAATCACCTCCAGGGATGGTCATTCCACCTCCCTGGGCAGACCATTCCAAGGTCCCATCACCTTTTCTGTGAATAACTTATGTCCAACCTAAACCTCCCCTGGCACAGCTTAAGGCTACATCCTCTTGTCCTGTCACTGGTGGCCTGGGACAATAGACTGACCCCCCACCTGATTACAACCTCCTTTCAGGGAGCTGTAGAGAGGGATAAGGTCTCCCCTGAACCTCTTTTTCTCCTGGCTAAACAACCCCAGCTCCCTCAGATGCTCCTCACAGGACTTATGTTCCAGACCCTTCAATAGCCTTGTTGCCATTCCTCAGACTTGCTCCAGCTCCTCAACATCCTTCTTAAATTGAGGACCTAGAACTGGACACAGTATTCAAGGTGCACCCCCACCACTGCTGAGTACAGAGGGACAATCACTGCCCTGGTCCTGCTGGCCACACTGTTGCTAACACAGGCCAGGGGCCATTGGCCTTCTTGGCCACCTGGGCACACTGGCTCATGTTCAGCTGGCTGTCCATCAGTATCCCCAGATCCCTTTCTGCCTGGCCACTGTCCAGTCACTCTGTCCCCAGCCTGTAGCACTGCAGGGTTTTGTTGTGGCCAAAGTGCAAGACCTGGAACTTGATGTTGTAAAATCTCATCTCCTTGGATTGGGCCCATTGATCCAGCCTGTCCAGATCCCTCTGCAGAGCCCTCCTGCCCTCCAGTAGATCAACACCTCCCTCCAGCTTGGTGTCATCTGCAAATTTGCTAATGGTAGACTCAATCCCACCACCCAGATCATCAATAAAGATATTAAACAAGACTGAGAACAACACAAATTCCTGGGGAACATCACAAGTGATTGGCTGCCAATTGGATGCAGAAGCATTCACCACCACTCTCTAGGCCTGGCTATCCAGCCAGTTCTTAACCCAGCAAAGAGTGCTCCTGTCCAAGCCACAGCCTGCTGGCTTTTCCAAGAGAATGCTATAGGATATGGTGTTGAAGGCTTTGCTGAAGTCCAGATAGACAGTATCTGCAGCCTCATGTACATGGCAAAGCAGCTTAATACTCTCAGAGGAGATGTACAAAGGGAGAGCTGACACACATTGTTCAACAGTTGTCAAGTCCAGGCTAAGTTATGCCATATTCAAAAATACAATCAAAAAACAGACAGTGCCTTGCTCTGGGTTCTGTGCATGACACTTTAGTATGTTGAAGTAGGTTTCTAAGCAGGTCAATTTGTGTCTTGTGTACAGAAAACTCATGATATGACAGCATGTACGGTGACATTTTTAACACACTAGCTTTGTGTTAAATCTATTCTCAGTAGGAAATGTAAAGCTGTGCTTGAAGGAGGGAGTGGTATTTTTGTAAACATCTAGGAAACTGCTCTCGAAGCTTCTGGAAATATTTAAAAGATTTGTAGACATGGCCCTTAGGGGTATGGTTTAGTAGTGGACTTTGCAGTGTTTGGTTACTGGTAGAACTGGATAATCTTAGAGGTCTTTTTTCAACCTAAACAATTCTTTGAAGTTAGCAAGTGTTCAGATATCAAAGACTCTAGTAAAATTGTGTGTTAATTGCTGAGGGAGAAAAGAACCTTCCTGCTGAGCTCTGAACCAAAAAACAAGATATGATCCACTGTAAACAAATTGCAAGCTTATGGCTAATGGCCATAAATGGCTAAACGGCCTGGAGAAACTTCTGATCTTGGCCTTGATCCATAAGAATCATAGGGTAACAGAGAGAAAGTAGTGCCATTTTCTTGTTGTTTGCCTTGCCTCAAATATGTTTCTTTTTATGTTACTGGAAAGCTTATGGACTTTGCATTAGAAAAATCTGGGTGTAGAGTTGCTGTAGAAGCTGGCAAAACACTTTGAATGACATAGAATTTATAATGAGGAATAAATTCCAACAAAATTTATGAATGTGAATGGGTATCTAAGCAGTCTTGGAATGTAACTAAGTTTAATTGTTCACATAACTTTTGCTGCCTTTTTACTGCAGAATTTTGGTTTTAGTAAATTAGGTACTTTTAACCCAATTTTCTTTTAAAAGCAACTTGAAGACTACTGGCTGCAAAGAAGTTGTGTATACTTTGCTTCTGAAACTGCTAATGTTCAATATCTAGAAATTCCTGTGTTGTACAAAATGTTGATTTTGATCTAAAGTGGGAAAATTAAGGTTTCTGGAAGCTATCTGTTTTACAAAAAACAAGGGCTAATTTGATTGTCAGTGTGCTGTGCTTATATGAAGTCTTAATCCATGTCTGAGTGGTCGTGAGACACTTAAGTACCACTGGCAATGATTTGGAATGCTGAAATTAGCTAGTATGTTTATGCTTTGCTCAAAAGGGGAAATGAATTGGTTGCCTTAGTCAGAATATGCACATGGGGTGGAAAAAATACCCAGTAATGATACCTCATAGCTACAACACAGAGCTGCCTTATCAGATGTAAATACATGGCAGAAAAATGAAGTATGTATGTTTCTTTTTTATTTAAGGCATATGGTATGTCAGCTTTGCCTCTAAACTTGATTAAGGGAACTACCAGTGCATCTTATGAACGTTTAGAGAACACTGAAGATATTGAAGAAGTGGAACAACATTTATTGAGGATTAAATCCAAGGTAAGGTCTTTATTGTTCTCACTTTCTTAGTGAATTTTGTTTCCCTTGCTTACTAGTTCGTGGTCATGCTGAAGAGTCTTTTTTCCGGAAAGAATAGCAAATCAGAAATGAATAGCTTGCAGTTATTTGAGTTACTTTGGAACACATATGGTCACTTGTGTAGCAGTGATTGCATTCTTTGTCAGTCCTGCAGTAGTTATTTGTGTCTAGTTAAGAGGTGTTAACAAATCAAACTCAAACTTCTCTAGGCCTGCTGGGATGAAAGAGGTGCTTAGTAGATATTAACCTCACCTGGTCTGCTACCAGAAACAGCATCCACTTTTCTTAACTTATTCAGTGTGGTGTAGTTAACACTGGATAGTTGCCACATAGAGCTGCCATGATTTAGATGCATCAAACTGTTAATCATCTTTATGAATAAATAACAGCTCCAGATAATCTTGCTTCCCAGTTAATGTACCTTGCTGTTATAAATAATTTCTTTATGAAAAGCATACATATGGAAAGCTGTTGTGAGTCCTAAATATCCCTAGGATGCGAACACCATTTGTAAACCCATGATGATTTTGCAGCTAATGGGAATACTTTGCCTCATAATAGCAAGAGACTTTTAAGAATCTCAGAGTGCAAGCCAAAGGAGGATAAGATTTCTTCATATACAAGATGATAGAAGAAAATCTCCCACCTCCTTTTTCAAACCATTTCAGATAATGGTTTGACCAGTGTTTTCACAGCCTTGATTGGGAAAAGTGATATCGAGGTGCCTCACTTCCATCCTGGCAGTCCATCTGCGCTGTTGTGTGCTCTGTGATAGTAGACCTCAGATATTGAAGCAGTTCCAACAGTCTTCCCTTGATACTTGGCTTACCTCTACCTAGTGTGGGCATCTTCAGTGTTCTAGATATTTTGTCAAATAAAGAAATCTAAAAAGTAGTCCGTTTTAAATTGTCATGTTTTGGTTTTGCACAAAGTACTACAGCACCAAGGGCATCCCTTACTGAAATCAATATGAGAAAAATGAGAAATCTGTGACAAATGGATTGTTACTTATTACAGAAGACCTTGTTGGGTTATGATAATTTGCATGCAGTTGTTCATCCTGTTGTTCAGTCTGGCTAAACTATAGGTTCAAAAAGTAGAAAGTTCTTAATTTATGTTTATATTGTAGTAAGATCTTTTGTGCAGACTAATTTTTCTTGGTTTATGGATTCTGCCAGGATTCTGCCTCATTCTGTAATGGACATCTTCAGTTTTTCAGTTATATGCACATTAGGTTGTGAAGAAAATGTTACTGAGAGTACTATACAGTAAAAACTAAAAGTATGAAGATATGCTACTGAGATTCAATATGTAGTATGTTCTTATACTACTAGTACCTCTGGTAGGTTCAATTCATTAGTCTTAAATAATTGAAGCTTGAACTTGCAGATTGGGAGCTTGAGCTTTAGTCAAAAAGTCCTTTTTAAGTCACAAAGGTGCTATATAGGGTAGTACATGTGTTCCTACTAAAAGTACATTGTAATCTCCAATTTATGTGTTATGTATGCCTATAATGTGGTCTTAGTCTTTTTGACAACCTTATTTAATTCTTTTAGCTTCACTGTTACATGATTTGCAGGAAGGATCCTTTAAAGTAAGAGAAAATTAATAAGGAATTTCAAAACTTTAAAATATAGTTTTAGTGCATTTCATACTAAGAAGAATCTTTATCCAAGTGTGAGTTTGCAATACGCTAGCATTAATGTCAGAAACAATTTTGGTTCAACTACCTAATGCCCATTTTGTTGCTTTTGCTGATAGCAAATAACTGAGTTGTATGGATGTGCTACTGACTTTACAGCAGAGTGTAATGGCTCCTGCTCAGAGTTTAAAGGCTCAAAATTAAAATAGATTCTTAAACATAATAATCAAACGAACTATCTGGTACATTCAACTAACTCTTGTAGTGATGCTACCTCTTATCTGATCCGTTTTTTGCTCAAGAAACATGAACTTTAATGGGAAGTGACCTGAAAATCAGTATGTTCAGCTCTCCATACAAAATATGGACTTCTTTCAGGTTAGATCAGGTTATTCAAATCATGGCTGTGCTTTTAAACCATTTTTAGCCATGGAGACTATCCACCCTGTTAAAATATTTGGGCATTTTCAGTGTGGAAAGTGTTTTCTGCCACCTAATAGGAATTCTTCTTGTTGAAGTTGGTGACTTCTGCACTTCATTCTCTTGATATTCATAGGAATTATACACGCATGAATTATACACTACAAATTCTTTAGAATTGTTGTAAATGATTTAAGTATCTGTCAAGTCTGTTCTCTTGATGACTCTTGTTCTTTTGCTCTCTTTATAACCAGTGCAGAGATGGTCGTCCTCTGTCATCTAGGGATAGACGGACTTTACAACAACTAGAAGAGAGATTAAGGACACTTAGAAGGAGAGAGAGGCATCTGGAATCTATTGAGAAAAGCTGGTGGACAAAAGCTTGTGAAGCTATTCGACCTCTAAAGGTAATACTTACCACTTTTTGATACTTAAATTGAAATAACTTCCAACTTCCTTTTTACCACATAAATCATAGGTCAAGTTTATCAATTACCACCCCGAATATCAACTGCTTTTTTTTTTTATTTACTTCAGTACTACACAATGATAGCCCTATAGTGAATTCTGAGCTATTGGAAAATCTTACTTTGCTTCAACTCTGATTAAGATTAAAAATGAACAAATTCTAGCTGATCCACTTTAATGCTACTGCCATAGAAAATCTGAATATCTTAATTTTTATCAAACATACAAAAATGAGGAGAAGGAACAATTCTATATCTGTCAGCTTAGGTTAATCTAAATTACATGTATCTAGCAGAAATGAGAGACATTCTGATAATATTTGCATTTGGAACAAGTGTCTTGCCAAGGAATTACTTGATAAATAGCTAGCTGAATAGAACTTAATGTCATGGTACTTAACCAGTGCAAAGGAGATGGTTACTGGGACAAGGCTTTTATCTTGGTCTCTTCAACTTAGGACTTTGATTTTCAGTAGATACCTTGTTTTGAAAACTAATTTTATGAAAAGTATTGCCATATAAAGTATTTCTTGCTGACTAGATGTAGGAAGAAATTTCAGCATTACTTTCAACTGTAGGCTGCTTTTGGGAAAGCTGGGGAGAGGCAGGTGGGTTGTAAACAATTTCTTGTCATTGCTGTTGCTAATGCTGAGTGCTGAAGCTGATGGGCTGAAATTTCAGCTGAACAAAAGCATTCAGTGTGCAATTCTTAGTGGAGTTATCCTGCTATGATACATTATGAATATAGACTGAGCTTTCATTGAAAGGACAAGTACCCCTAACTATTCATGTTAAGTTTTTGGAGGCTTCCTTTTGATCTAAAAAGTACGTAATACAACTTGTGTATTAATATTAAGCGTCTGTAACTTTTCACATAAAGCTCAAATTTGGCAAACATGTTGGCCCTATATTTTATCTCTGGGACTTTACCACTTCTCTTCTCTGGCTGTGTTCTCACAGGAAAGCATACAATATGTGCATTAGTTACTCATACTTATCACCTACAGTCTGGACCGTATTCCAGTGTCTCCTTGTTTTTGTGGTTTGAAAGCTGTGACAGTTACTGTGAGTTGTTGACTCATGAATCACAAACTAAAACAGAGTTACAGGTGGATAATTTTTCCTAGACTATGGTTGTGCTGTGAAGCATGTCAGAGAACTTGTTTATGTTGACTAGAGCTGGCCTGTGAAGTGGTAATGTCTATCACTTAATTACATGTCAACTCTTGCAGAACTGTTTTATTGCTGCTTGAAGAGCATTTGGGATGTCTCTGCTGATACATAACTTGTCAATTGTTCAATTGGGCTTTAAGAAAAGGTTAAAATCCATTCAATATCCATATGTAGTACTTCTGTTCAATGAAGAAGTGCAGAAGGTATCTTGGAGCTTTGCTTATTGTTTTACAACATTTTCACCTTCAATGCCTTCAATTTGGATATTACTGTGGCTGTTTCTCAGACTTCAAGAGAAATTCCATTTCTTGTAGAGCATGTACTTTAATTAAACCTAAATACACGTACATAGTTAAGGTTTTCCACATAATACTGAGAATATAGGTTGTGAATTCTGCTAAATACTAGGTTCATTAAATGTAATGTCATCTCTTTTCTTAATGTCACTTGACATTGGGATAGATCTGTATATTACATTAGAGCATGTGATGTACTTGACAAACTATGTTTAACAGATATGAGCACTTCTCTCAAGTATTTACCAAAAAGTTACTGTTTCAGGTGTATTTAAGCTCAGAAATGCTCCAAGATCATTAGTTTGTTATTGAAACGAAGGCAAGTGTTCACTTCTTGCATCAACTGCGAACACTTTCAGTTAAATTGTTTTAAACTTTTATTTGTAGGTTGTGTGGGGAGTATTCTTCATCATTGTGGCATTGCTCTTCACTGTCTCTCTGTTCTTGTCAAAGTAAGTATATTTCAGCATTTTCCTTGACCATTTAAACTATCTAGTTTCTGCTTTAATATAAAAATTTGGGTGGTTTGCCTCAGCCCCCTTCTTCTCAATATTACATTTCTGTCAATAGAACTGCACTTCTCATTATACTATATATTGAAATGGAGCAAAATGTACCAAAAAATGGAAGAAAGAACATGTTTCAGGCAGCAAACAGCACTAATTCAGCAGAGAAGTTAAACATATATGTTCAGGAAGTTTAATTCATATTACAGAGGTATTCTGCTTGCTTGAATGAATCTTATTGCAGGTACTTATTTGACTGGGTAACAGGTGCTTAAAATCTTGCAGTAAATAACATGTTTAATCTATTTTGATGTGTATTATGTTGGAATGGTTTCATGGTGTCCAGCTACAAATCTGGTAGATTACAATGTGAATTCACACTAACCAGAGATCTCAAATGTTGGCCTTTTTGATCTTTCAGACTGGGAAAATAAGCTTTGACCCAAACTAGGGAAAAGCAAATATGCTGAGGAGATGCAGAAATCAATATATCTTTCACAGAACAAGTGCAGTGAGTGTGGTAAAGCAAAGCATGTGTCAGTATAGATGCTAGACAGCTGTCACTCTCTGGGTTTAGTTCAGTTTGTTTGTTTTTTTTTTTTTTTTTTCCTTTTGAGTTGTCCTTTTAATTTAAACTAAAGATAAAGCTCTGAGGGAACCACAGGACTTAGAGTTTTTCTAATTATTGCAGTTTGGACAAAGCTCTGCATTCAGCTGGCTTCGACTCAGGATTTATAATTCTAGGAACTAATCTGACCAATCCATTGAATATGCTGTTACCAGTTCTTCAAAGAGTAAGTAAAGAAGTAGTAATATACATATGTAAGGATGCTCTTCTGTTTTCTTTTAAGCTTCTCCCCAAGTAATTTATTAAAACACCATTGTATGTGTGTTCAGTAAAAGCAAGGCAACTTCCTTATTAATTTTTAGTTGTTAGTTACTGATATGAAAAATTTGGGTGAATGGAATCTAGTTTGGGCAAGGAAGGTGGTGCTTGAAAATGCTTTTGATGTAATGAAAATACAGTGGCAACAGAGAATGGCAGCAGTTGTAGTTACTATGTACAGAATAAAAGCAATTTTATCCCATGTTCTACATATATTCTAGTTGGTGTACTGGATAGCTTAGGCCTTTTTAGTAAAATAAATGCAGTTTTTCACTTTTTAATATATTGCACTTTGGAAAATAGGCTACATTGGATATGTTATAGTAAGGCATTAGTCTTGGAAGCAAACCTAACGTAAAAACATAAATCAGTTAACTTCAGTGGAGTTGGAAGACAACACGTACACATACAAATTTAAGTTTGTCATGAGCAAACTGAGAAAAAGAAAAGCTGAATATTAAGCTTGTGCTTTATTCCCCCCCAGTTAAGTTACTCCTATATTCTTTGTACAATGGGTTAGCACAATGCACTGCTTCCCCATGGCTTCTAGAACTATTGAACATCTAAGCTTGTAGCTCACTGAGTAGTTTTCAGCAGCAATATTATCTCAAACGCTTATTAATGTAAATATAAAAATCAAGTTTTGTATGCAAATATGATCTGAAAAATAGTCACAAATACGCAGTCCTAAAATAGTTGCCACTGCGGACTTGTCATCTGTGGGCATATTTAAAATAATTAAGTATTTCTTGATCTAAAAATGTATAACACTTCAAATTAAGGCATGTCCTAAATTAATAAAAATGCTTAGTGCTTTCCCGAACTAATTGTCTAAGCTCTATTAGCAGCAAGGTATGTTAGCTATATTTGGAGTCAGCAATGTAAAACTTGAAAATAGGACTCTGACTACCTCAGATATAAGCTACAGAAGTAGAAGCTACTTCCTTAGAGTGGGAGAAGAGCTTTTTTCCTTGCTTTAACTGCTTATATTCTTGTTTTAGGTTTTTCCACTTGATTATATTCTTATCACAACCATTGTTATGTACTTTATCTTCACTTCAATGGCAGGGATTCGAAATATGGGAATATGGTTCTTCTGGACAAGGGTAAATATAACTTAAGAGTTTAGTTTCAAATACTCAGATTTATAACAAATATGTGTTCTTGAATATATTTAATATTTTTGTATTATGTATGCCTAATGAACATTAAAAGCCTGTTGTACAATTTGTACTGCTTTTGGAAGGTGTTTCCATTTTTCCAAGCTATCAGACTTTGCCAAGTCATCAAAACTGATGTTTTAGTTTGAGCAGTAGAGTCAGCTGACTCCTTCAAGTGTTTAATCAGTGTCCCTTTGGCTTCTGAATTTTCTAAGTTAAAGCCATGTGATTGGTACATTTGAAGTATTGGTCAACTTTATGGTCAAAATCTGTAATATGGCATGCAGTCAGAGGTTCTTGAATTGCCATCTGTGTGACAAATGTGTTTAGCTTCATAAGAGAAAACAATGCAGTGGTGATAGGGCTATCTCAATATTATGCAAATAATCTATTACTGTATGAGCAGCTTTGTATCCAATGGCATGACATTCATGCCTCTGGTACTTGGTTAAACCCTGCTAATGTGCCTACTTTCCCTTTAAAATTGTCACCTTTTCATGTGGTGACACTCCAAAATCGTCAACAGTGGCCATCAGTCTTTGCAGTGAGTTGTTAGATGAGTTGTTGGGTTTGGTGCTGTCATTTCCCCCTCAGCTGCCAGCTCCTTCACCCTAACGAGGTACTCAGGTTGAGCCCTTGGGAATTAGAGTTGAGTGGTATCTACAGGGCATAAAGGAAGGATTATGTTGTTCCCTGCAGTGTTAAATGGACAAGATGCCAACCATATGGTGTGTTACCTTGCTCAGAGCCTGGCTATGCACTCTCGTAACTCCACCTCTGTTTCTAGATCTAATTGGGGGTATAGTGATAGATGACATCTCACTTTAACCAAAAGACACAATATTCTTTGATAAACCAATGCACAGTTTGTTGTAGGTAACAGGCAATTTAAATCTTGCTACTAAATGCTAGTGAATAAATGTTTTGGGCCATTAATACAAATAGAACTTAATTTGGTTAAATAGCTGTGCTTTGGAGTTTAGGTAAATATACCTGAAAACCTGCTTTGAACCACTGGAATTAAGTTACCAGAAGATAATTTTAACAACCTCCCACTTCTGGCAGTAGAATTAAAACTTATTTGAACTAAAGGAGTTTTTGAATGCCTTCAGAAAAAAAATAATACTTCTTTGTGTTAATATTGTTTTTTCTGATTTTAGCTTTATAAAATCAGACGAGGAAAAACTCGACCTCAAGCACTCTTATTTCTCTGTATGATACTTCTATTAATTGTTCTTCATACAAGCTACATGATTTACAGTCTTGCCCCACAATATGTAATGTATGGAAGCCAGAAATACCTGGTACAGGTGAGATGCATTTTTTTTGTTTAAATTTTATTTTCTGCATTAAAAATGTGCTGTTTCTATAAACTTTGGAAGTCAGACATTTTCAGTTTTTGGTAGGTAGTTTTTTAAATACTAGTAGGTATCTTGGTAATACAAAGGCCAGAAACTGATTGCACTATATGCTATATACTACACAACTTAATTTCTGTGTCATCTCAAGACTTTGTGAAACTGAGGTTTGTTTTACTCCTGATAAGACAGTTGTTAGCTTCCACTAGATTTTGTGCTGGTCTGCTTGGGTTGCTGAGTGACTGCAGTGAGGATTATTTTGAATGTATAAGGCTGTGTAGGGAATGAAATTAATACTGTTCCACAGTTCATGTCTTTTATGTGCATATTTATGAGGAATGACATAGATAACTTGGAACAGTAGAAAATAAACTGAGTGGAGCTGAGTGTGTGCAGATTTGTCACATTCCAGGCACTTTGGACTGTCCAACTTCATGAAACTCCATGAAGTTCTTGCACTGTAAATTCTTCTACAGAATTAAGCATTAAAATTTAATATCTGCTTTTGTTTTTGCACTTTTGTGTATTTCAAGGTTTTGATTTTTTAAGTCTTTCATCTTCTGTACCCAAAGAATTAAATTATTGTATTACAACTCAGTTTGAGTAGTAGTGTGCATGTTTATGGGGAAGTTTAAAGTTACATATCAGAAGCATCTTGAGAGGTTTCATGGATGGTGTTTATTAAGGTCTGGTATCTTACAGGGGTAGACTTCATCAGATCTGGTCTTGCAAATGTAGACAGCTAACCAGGTCATGAACTGGTTGCTTCTTCAGGCACAATGAAGTCAAGATCCCTTGGTGTGCTGTTTGATGTTTCAGTTTCACAAAGACAAAACAGTTGAGCTGGAGTGGTCAAAAGAAAGGATTCAAACGAGATTTGATGTGATTGAATGCTGCTTTGAGCTTTTGGAATATCTGTAATTCTCTAGGAGGATGTTCTTGTGGGAGGAGAACACCTGCTTTACAAATGAAACACCTGCTGAGTTCTTTCAGCTGCAACTGTTTAGTAAATTTTGTAACTTACTAGTATAAATTGTTTTTGTTTAAACAGTGGACGCAGAATACTTAGGGGAAAAGGATTACAAGGAGAAATTGAAATACTGCTAAATAGGTTAGAGAAGAGGAGCTTGCACAACTTAAATGTGTAGGTATGGTAGGATTGTCACTGCAGGAAGTGGAGGTCTCAGTAAATGCTACTTCACTACTGTCTTTATATTTGAATTATCTGGTAATGGGCGATTGGTCATCCTGATACCAATCCAAGCACAGTAACAGAATCACTGTAGGTGATATGAATATTTGGTATTTAAGAGCTGTAATGCATTTTATTAGGTTTTACGCTTAATATAACTAACACAAACTAAACATGCCTAGATGTGTATAACTTGGCTCAACTTGTCAGAATTAGGGTAGTAGCAGCATGAAACTTAGATGAAAGCCAGTTTAGATTCATTTACATAGAACTTCTGTCATGGTTGCTTATTGTTTATGTAACATCATAAACAGCCTAGAACATCATATAAATGTATCTGAATTAGTTATGAGCTGAGGTCCCTGCAAAAGACAGTTTGGATTTTATGTTGTAGAATGATTGTATGCCTCCAATTACAGTGCAGAACCAATGTGGGTGTAAGAGTGGGAAGAACAATTGCATTAAGGGTCCTACTGAACTACTTTTTAAGCCTTGCAGTGACCTGAGTAGGGAATCCTTTAAGATAAAGTTTGTAGATAGTGTGGAAGATTTGAAGAGGAAAAACAAATAATAAAGGCTATAGCTAGCAGTTTGTTTTGCTTTATGAATAAAATAAAATGTGTGTATATTAAGGGAGGCAGAAGGATTGAGACTTAACAAACACTTGCATATTAGCTGTTTATGACAAGTGTCTGAAGATAAATACATGATTTCTGAGAAAAGAGGTCAAGAGAATAGAACAGCACAGCAGTAGGAAGGCCCTTGTCATTCTTGCAGCTATTACAATATAATCCTGGTCAGCACTGCAAAAAGGATTAGCTGGAATGGTTGACTAAAGCTGTAACTTTCTGTTTAAAGTATAAAAAATGTTCTGGTCAAGATAGCCAACTTGGGTCTTCAGCTTATGTCTCATTTCAAAGAGCTGTGTTTAAAGTACATAATCTAATTTGAGTAGAAGCTGGTTTTTTTGTTAAAATAGCATGAAACATACAGAATATGCTGGTAAATTACATCTGGGCTTCTCTGGCATACCAAATAGATAAAGGTTTTCTGAAAACTTTCTCTCCAAGAGTTATTTCAGAATGTACCAGAAATGTTTTCTGTGTCTGACTACCTTGGTAACTGGATGTTAAATTTTGCTATTTTGAAGTGAGGAGAGATGGAGTCTGGGAATGAGGAGAAGCCAGATATTTTTCTGTGGATATAGCAATGAAGAGGTTCATAAGAGTTATGAATTGGTGTTTATGGGTTTAGGAGTGTCCAGGAGCAGGGCAAGTGAGCTAGACATGCAGATGATGGGAACCCTGTGTGCCAGCTCACTTTGACAGTCCTGGTTTTAATTGTCCTCTCACACTACAGTTGATGTCATCCTTTAGAATAACACCACTGGTAACCAACAGTGTGTAAGAACCAAACAATAAATTATTCCATTTTTCGTTATTCCAAGAAAGCTTAATGGATGGCTGTGCTGATAAACATGTGTATGATAGTCTGCTGGCTCATAGACTGTGCAAAAGGAGTACTTCCCTCTTTGCTTTGCTCTATAGTGATTCTAAATCTGGTAGTGTGCCAAACTAAATTGTTATCACAATCTATAGTAATGCATGGGATAGGTTAGATTCCTATTTGAATCTTGAACTGTTTCCTTTGGAGACTGCTGCTTTTGGCAAGAGCTTTTAATTTCGAAGTGCTGCTAACTTCTCCTTTTAACTGAATATGTATATAAAAGTGGAGCTTTTGTGAGGCAATTAACATTAACTAGACCAGGGCTACTTGCTTTATTAACTCTGAGCACTGGTGTGTTCAAAGCATGTGACCCCAATTTATCACAAGTGTCTTCAACTGTGGTGTCTGTAGGAAACTTTTGAAAATTTCTTCTGGATATTGTGGTCGTACCAACTAAATCCCTCTGTAGGAGTTTGCTTCAAGAGGTGAAACCGAGTTATCCTTGGGGTCTGAAGAGCTATGAAAGTTGAACAATTTGTTCTATCTAATCAACAATGAGTCTTTTCATAACCTTTCACAAAGAAAGAATTGTATCCATATCCAGGCCACCTTCTTAGCTTTCTAGCAAAAGCATAACCTTGCCTGTACTTGAGGTACAATTCCTATTTCTGTTCAGTAAGGCCAAGGGTTATTTTGCCTTTGTCTGAAAGAAAAAGCTTGCTGATATTTGTACCCAGTGGACCTTTAAGACTTGATTGACTGAGACAGGAACTAAAAAGCCAGTACTTGCCATAAGCAACATGGATACTTTTCCCTGCTTGGAGACCAGAACAGCAACGATCGCTTTCTTTCTTCAGTCATCAGATAGATAATTTGGAAGAGTGGAGCTAAATTGCAGGACCCAGAGCATCTCCATTGCCAGCAGCAGGAATCCAGAAGATGGCTAAGTGTGGAAACAGATCTTTTCAAGTTGTTGATCTTTAACATGAGCAGAAACTAATCATGTAGGTGTAGCAGGCTGTATCCTAACCCTTTACATAATTGCTGTTTTCTGAAGTGTCCAAAATGTGTCAGCTCTTAAAGCACACATACTAAGTTACTGTCCATAGTTCTGTCTCATACTTGATCACGATGCAGCCTGCTTTCAGCCTGGGAGATAAGGTAACAGAACACTAAGGTTTTACTGTGGCAATACTTGTACTAAAAATGTCTTAAATTATAGGAATGTTCATGGAGGACAGTGATCTAAGACCTGGAAAAAATAATAGATATTGTCAAAGAAAGCCTGTAGGTCTAGCTATTGTTGTGTTTAAATACTGTTAATATGTTAAAGTGTATGAAGTGGTTAGAGCTTAATTTAATGTGCCAGCTTGTACAGATTGCTGGTATGTTTTAAGGAACTTTTTTCAGTCTGAAGAAAAAATGTTGACTCTTTCTTTAGAGAGTTTTCTGTTTAGGAAATCATGAAGTATCTACAGTAGCTATGAGATCCTTTAAAGTGAATCGGAGTATAAAAAAAAAATCACTTTAGTGCAAAGGTTTTACATTGGGCTCTGCTGAAATTATTTACTGGTTGTTCAAAAATGTGGAACACAGAGTTCATGTTCCCTGGAAGGGTTAATTTTCCAAAGATTTGGGACATTTAAGCAGGTACATTTGGGTTTTCAGTACTTCACTTAAACATCATTTTTCTTCTTCCACTCTGGCCATCCAAGTATGTTGCATGTTACCATCTGGCTTTTAGACCAGAAGTAAACTGTATTCATTATCATTATCGATCCTAACACTTCTGTGCTGTCTTCATCACCAAAGCTGATTTTCAAATTAATTTTATGCACAGTTTAAAGGTTTCATTTCAGAGCTCAAGTATGTTTTTCACAAGTCTTCAAAAAGAACACAAGCTATTAGTTTTTTCAGTAATGAAATCATACTTAGAAATGTTCATGTTTTACTGCTTGCAGCTTACTCTGCATATGCTGGTCAAAAATCATACTTTTGAATATTTAAAGAGATTTGATTAAGTGTTTTTAAATTATTGCACTGGAAAATGTATTTGGTTTCTGTACTATCATTGTCTATGGAAGACCACTGCTGGTAGACTAGTGTACTAATTTTCTGTATTTATAATGCAGAGTAATAAGACAATTGATGGTCAGCCACAGAATGTGACACTTGTGTCTAAAGACTGTGATGCAGATGCACCTGAAGGTAAGATAAATTTTTCTTGTATTTCCAATGTGATAGGTGCATGCTCAGCTGTAATAAGCAGCTTAATCTCTGTCTTCATGGCTTTCATTTGCCTAAAGTGAAGCTTTGATGTATAGTTAAGTTAAAGCATACTTTATTCATTTAAAGGAATGACTATTTTTAGTAGAAACCATGGGTAACAAAGCATTCCAGTTAATGTTAAAATCTCACATTTGCTTTAATGTGTATGTAGAAGATCTTAAAAATAAACCCCAGCTGGTGAATAGCTTGGCGTTGAAAGTGCACTTCACTGTGTATATTTATCATACAAACATGCAGACAAGTATTCTATTTGGTCTGTCAGGAAAACTAAGGTCTGAACTTCTCAGTGGAATTTGAGATTCCCAGTGGAAGCTTACAGATAAGAGAATTATGTAATTATTAATGAGGTATAAATGTGGGCTCTTCCATGAGCAACAATATCAGTAGAACTAGAAATCTTAGACTATTTTTCTCTAATTCTCTTAGAGTTATGCTGGAAATTATAGAGAATGGTAAATTTTCTCAGCTCTATTACTAAATGACCTATTTTTGAGCAGAAGATGTATTATGGATATTCTGGAGTTAAGTAGTGATTAGCCAGCAGATGGATAATGCTGGAATGTTCCTTGACTTTCTACCTATGCAGGCCTGAGTGTTCATTTTCTTTTTTTAAGAGAGACTGGTAACATTTTATTTTAGTGCTTATTCCTCTATGAAACCTGAGTGAGGCTGTGAATGAGTTTCAGCCTAGTTTCATTAAAAAAACGAGCTAATTGAAATCATGCTGGTTTTATTTTTTGCAGTCTTACTTTACACTTCCTTTCCCTCTGCATATAAACAGTTCACAGTTTGAATTGCAGAAACCACTGCAATACTGATAGCTCTTTAAGGTCACAGTGATATTGATTGCTAACACTGATCTCAGCATAAGATTTATGGCCTTCAGAATGGTCTAGTTTTTTCAAGCCCAAGCTTTCAGTTGTTCTTACTCTGGCCAACTTTCAGCTCCTCTGGATGAATAGCAGTTGTATTGTGTGTGCATTTCTATCCTTATGAAAATGCTTGAGTGTTAGTTAGTTGATAGAAAAGATAAATACTTGTCCCATATTCTCCTCTTATTATCAATATTCTATAACTCCTCATTTTTTTGACTGCTACCAGAAGTTCTTAACAGCCACTCTGTTTTTCTCTACTTTTGCTATTGGAAAATATAAAACTTGATTTATTTTTGTATTAGTGGAGGTAACTGGGCCATCAGTTCTTTGTTCCTAATCTGTCAGGTCTCTTTTGCAGGGCAGTTCCCTTATATTTATGCTTATCTTCAAATTTCGTCTTATTCCTGGTGGTTACTAGCATTTCCCAAGAGCCATAGAATTTTTTCCCCATTTTCCCCCATATTTCAAATAATTTCTTCATTTTTTTGATTGATATTTTTAGATTGAATGCAGTTTCAAGTGTTTAGATATTTTGGCAATTAAAATCCTTCAATTTATGTTTAAGGCTGCCCTGTTTTTGTGATTAAAAATAGAAACTCTGGCAAAACTTACAAGAGCAAATATGTTGCCTTTCAAAATTAGATCACTTTTGTCAGAATTGAACAGATCTTTGTTTCTTGTAAGCAGCTTCTTGACTTGGCCAGTGTCTGCTGAAAGCACAATATTCTCACTGGCATTGATAAGTTTATTAGTCTTGACCTTTGTGAGAGAAATGAAAATAGTCTGATTTCCTCAGACTTTGCTTAATTATGAAAAATTAGATTGCATTTAAATAAACTTAATTCTACCCCACTTCAATTTTTTTGAATACTTTTAATATTTACATGATTTTCTTTCTTAGTTTACTTTGCTTAATGGAAACAATATGCTAATGATTAAAACTAGTCTTCTGATGTACTGAACACAAGTTGGTCTGTGTAAATGATGGCTTGTTGTTGCAGTGGCTATCTCTGAGTCATGGTCTCCTTTCTTTATAGAAAAGAGGTGGAGAAAATGTTGATATGCTGTCCTGTGCAAAACTAGTATAGGTAGAAGATGGATGGACATTTCCTAAATGTGAATATCAATGTGATCAAAAGGCTTAAATGGAGTTGTATTAACTGTAGAGGATACATTCAGGCCATTCATGTATTTGTATAAATGAAAGAAAAGTTTACTTTTAATAATCAACTTTAAGAAAAAGTCACATTATTGAAAGCACTTGAATGATTTTTTTCATCCAGTCAGTTTTAGAAACTGGGAATGTAATCCTTACTTCGGAATACCTGTCATTTTTAATACCTGGTAACAAAATTAATGAAAAGTAGATGCTATTCTTTTCTGTGATCAGAGAGAGCATCTTGATAAGTCAGATTTATTTCAGAGGTAGAAACTAAACTTCTAAATACAATTTCTCTTGTTTGTAAGGATATTAGACTTGGGCAAAAATAGATGCAAATAACTTAAAGTTTGGTCAAGCACTTGCAGTTTGAATTGCCTTCTTTGGTACTAGGGTTTTACTAGGTAAAAAGGTACTTAGGTACTAGGTTGTTTTTTAGGGTAAACCAGTGAACTGTAACTAATTGCAAACATTGATTTATCTCCTCAATTAATTTATTTCTGTTTAAACTGATTTAATTCTAACAGGTATTTTTCCTTAAACATAAAACAAGCAATGACCTTTTAATGACTGTACTGATAGATAAGCTTATAGCAGTCTGCTGTCTTATTAAATGCTCAGATCTTGGAGATATGATCTCTACTTACTGTTACTAGGTAAATTATTTTTTTTCTTTCTGAGACAGTACAAGAGACCTGATGAAGTTGTAACAGCTATTACTTCAGGTTTTATTGGGCAGTGTTTCCTGTAGATTTGTTTCAAACTAATGTTTGGTTTGGTCCAAAGGACAATTTCACTTCTTGGAGAAACACAAGGCAGTTAAAATGCAATCTTACAAAAAACACATTGAGTATTTATAGTTAAATATATAATTTGATTTAACAATATCTGCTTTCATTCAGCAAAGCTTATCTCTATTTACTCCTGATATGCAGGAGGTAAATCTGTTTTATACTCAGATAAGGGCCATAATAGTGTACCTACATGAAACAGAATAGAAGACAAAAAATAATAGAGCAGGGTACATCTTATAAGTCAAAGTACCTTTTTTTTAGTTAAACATCTTGCATAAAAGGTTTATGTTCTGGTTAACTTAAAAAGCTTTTTAAGTAGTCTTTTGGGGACAGCAAGTTTAATATGTTTGTTATAGGGAAAACAAGCTTTAGTTTTCAATGTTCAATACAGTTGGGCAAAAATATCATTTGATGGCTATTTTCAAGGGCTAAGAGCAGCTGAAATATTGTGTCCACAATTCAGCTGAGTATAAGGTAAAGCAAAGAAGTTTAATTATGTGATTAAGACTCTTGCAGCAGGACTAATGTGTTGAAAACTTGGTATAGGTTTAGCTTAACAGGTTAATGGGATTTAATGTAAATGAGCTTTGACTCTGCTGCAAGCCTGAACTATGAGATCTGAAAAACACTATCTCTGTCTTTCTAGATTAAAAGATCTAGCTTTTAAGCATCACTCACTTGAAATGCATAACTCGCTCTGAATTCCCCCTTGGATTCTCTTCCTTCTTGAAGGAAATGAGCCTTGCCCAAGGCCTGTTACATTCTGGGTACAGTCAATCTGCTAGGCATTTTTCATAGACCTATGCTGACTTGGAATTACATGTGAAGTGAGAAAAGAAAAATCATCTCATTTCTAAGGCTTTGAAATGAGATCTTACTGTGCTAATTTGATCTGTGCTGCTAAGATACACTTATTAGCTAGAATTTAAAAAGTTCAGGACCTCAGGCTTTATTTTTGCCTGAATAAGGATTAGATATAGACATTACTCATGATGGAATGGAGGCCCAAATACAAATGCCAAAACAGGGGCACACTCGGTTTCTCTTCTAGAGAAATGCAGGAGACATGCAAAGGGAAGCCACTAGCAAGTTGCTCAGAACCCTCAATATTAGTAATTTTGTATGAGGAGTTGTGAGACTGTAGGTTATCACTTCCAAACTGTTGTTCTAAATTAATTACTTTGAAAAGTTACAAAATGCTTCACATAAAGTAAGGATTTTAGTGAGGACTTTCCATTTTCATGTTGCTTTGTGAAGTACTTTTGCTAGTACTTTACCCTGAATCTATGCTTATACCTAATACTTTGAGTCCTCTATAAGCAGGAGTCCCTGTAGATAAGCATAGTGGTGCATGTCTGAGCACAGAAATACCTGTTTGGCACCTGTTAACAATATGAGCAGCTAAGAGTGCTGTAAATACCATTTTGCAGTACATTGTTCACTGATGTGCAGGTGTAGATAGATCAATTCCCACAATTATTTTTCCTAAAGGAGGTTTTGTAAGAATGAAAATAATAGGTTATGCTGTCTGCTGCTTCCTTTGTAGAGTTTTTGCATGTGTTCATCCCTAGAGTATTGCCTTTGATGTTTATCACTGGCTATATCTTTATAAGAAAAATTGTTTGCCTCTAGTTATTTAAAAAACAAGGTTTTCAAGGGAGACTCAGAAAATGCCTCTTGAAGAACTTGAAGTTTGAGGTGGCAATTCAAAGGCATGAAATAACAATTATGGCCTGTCTCTTAGCCCATGTGTCAAGTGCTTGTAATTAACCTGAATTGTACACAGTGTTTCAAAGGATCTCTACTTTCTACAAAAGCATTAAGAACACTTTTTCCATTAGCAGTCTGATCCAATGTAGAAACTGGGCATCACCTCTTTGGAATTTAAGTGGCTTCAGATTTAGCTTTTGGCTAATGCTGTACCTTTTCACTTTATACATGGACTTGTAGCATTAGTATTTTCCTCACTTGAAGGTACTTAATAAACATTAAAATCAAGTCATCCTTTAAACTTAGGAAAAATGAGATTAACAGGTTTAGCTCTGCAAATCTCATTAAATGTTTTTCACCTAGTCTGTTAATACATGCAAA